AGTTGAATTAATGACAAACCAAATGCCCCTCACATGACGGCCACTGTGTGGCAGAGAGAAAAACAAACACCCAGGTTGAACTGGATCTCGAAAAAGGTGTAATAGTTCTTATTAGGGTGGTCGAAGGTATCACTGTCGCTGAGGCGAATAAATGCCCAGCTGGAAGGATGGCCAACCTCATCAAGTTTCAGCCATTTAATGCGGTGAGAGACAGGGTGAGAGGCTTTAGTTCGGCAACGAGGATGATTGGGCGAAGGATCTTTTGCGGCCGAGGAAGGAAGTGGAATGGTAGAAGACGTAGGGTTAGGAGGAAGGACCTCGTGGTCCTCCTTCTCTGTTGTGATGTCTGCGTCAAGTTCATTGATCAACCCAAACGGTCGGCGAAGACGACAAAGCGGAAGAAGTGAGGGACTGAGAAAGGTCGATTGTTCGAGATGGGTTTGGACTAGGAAGGCAGGTCGAACGATGAAGATTGGATTATGCTGGAGAACTTCTTTAGTTGAGTCTTAGGGAGAGGGAGAGATAGGTGGAGAGGTTGAGGAGGATGGAGGAGACATGTCCTTTTCAAAAAATGGTCGTTTTCACTTGAAGTGGCAGAATCTACAAAAATAAAAGAGAAATACCAAAGAAGAAAATTTTTTAGGGTTTCAAGGCGGAGAAGAAGAAACAAGGAAGATTTCTTGCCGGCGAGGTGAACGAAAATTCAGGGAAGGGAAGAAGAAAAACATGAAATTATGAAATTCAAATAACGTACCCATAATAAAGATCAAAAAACTTACCCATCATCGCAGATGGGATAAATCGCTTGAAAAGTTGGGATAATTCGAGTCGCAGAAAGGCCAGTTGCAAAAAGCGTGAAAACGAGAGAGAATTAGGGCACAAATATATCTGAAAGTCGTGAAGGTAGAAAATAAAAAATGTCGTAGACAAGGGTATTTATAGAGAATGTTAAGGGAGATTCAAAAGTTTGGAAGCCAACCGTTAGTTTAAATGCAAATCTAACAACTATGGTAAGTATGCGCATTTAATGGGTGCGGAACATGAGAAGGTGCGGATCGCGGAAAAGTGGCGTCAGCGGGGCAATGATGATAACATGACAACTGAAAGTATTGGTATGACAAGTGGCAGGTTTGAATTTTGAAATTCAAAGTGGCATATGAAAGATAAAAAAACCGAAGAGCAGAAGAGGGCACGATGAACAATCAATGAATAGCGAGCGGTACAACAACTAAACAGATGGACGAAAATCTACTCTTAGATCGAGTCATTCAGTCTTGACCAGAGTGGGAGGAGACTAGATGATATGGGATACTATACTTATGAGAGTAAACCGGTTGAGCAAGTCGGTTGAATAAACCGAGTAAATCACCTGGTCGAGCGAGAGCCGAAGGGGGTGGTCGTGGTCAAATGTCATAGAAACAAGAGCCTCTGGACTGGAAGACAACCTAAAGGGGATTTCAGTACGAGGAGGGTAGGTCGAGCCAGAGCCCTCGGATAACCTGGTCGAAACTTGACCTATAGCAAAAAGTCGATCTAGAACTGGTTGAGCCTTCGGGAAGATCTCAGGTAAATAAAACCCGACGTGATGATGACACATGAAAAGGCATGATTGGTCTATACCTTGTGGTTAGGGTGTGTTGTATGATTAGACAACTTGGGCAGTTAACTCAAAACTTCCTGGCAGCTTCTAGAACAGGTACCTCACCTTTATATATTGGAGCGAGACTCGCGATTTTAGAAATTACGTTCATTATACTCTTTCAGAGTTCAGCTTCTACATATACTCATTTAAGCATCAGAAACTTTTCACCTGATACCTCCTCTGGTGTGGGAGTTTTGGGAAAAAAAATTTGAGCAACCTGATGTTTGCCCACTTTGAAAAAATGCAACCTAATCATTTGAAATTGATAAAAAAACAACCTGAACTTATCAGTTATGTTAAAAACCAACCCAACCAGTCGGATTGCCTTAAAATTCACCGGAAAATTGGTCCGGCAACCTACTTCCCAGGGCACTTTGGTCATATCACATGATTTAAAAGGGCATCCTTGTCTTTTCCGCACAACACTGAATTTCTTAGCCATTTTGCCGCCATTTTTTAGTCATTTAGGTAAAATTAAGGCACAATTCCGCCATTTTTCCCCAAAGTTTGAGCATTTATGCGAGCTTGGATTCTACAACTCAAAAATGAGTTGGAAGATTCGCGATCAACAGACTTTCATTCCCTCTGACAGAATGACGCCAGATTACGGTAAGTTGGTTGTAGTTCATATCAAGGTGTTGAAACATTTTTTTGAAGAAGTTCATATCAAGGTGTTGAAACATTTTTTTGAAGAAGTTCATATCAAGGTGCTGAAATAATTTTTTTTTTTTCCTTACAGGTGTAGTCCATGATTATGATACACCATGTCCAACACCCATCTCGATTTCATCCAAATTAAAAAAAAAAAAAA